TATACAAAATTCCTTTTAAGATATCTCTAAATTAATTAAAGATATCTTGAATTATTCAGCTTTTCCATTAAAGATATCTGAGTGTTCCTGTTTATCTCTGTAGCTACAACGTGGGATGCACAAAGAGAATGGGTCTCTTTCCAAACCGCAAAACCAGTCTGGAGAACCTGAAGAAGCGAGCATTGAATGGGAACCACAGAACCAGTTTAGAGTCTAAAAAGAAGGTGAGGCAGCGGGAGCTCTGTCATTACAGCCATGATGGATGTACAGTGTGAGCAGGGGATGAGGGGCTGATCAGTGTTAAACACTTCACTGTTTTTATTTATACTTACTGCTATATGACCCATGTCTGCTCTCCTCCTGTGTGCCAGAGTGCTCCCCCTGCTGGTCACTCTATCCACCCTGCTCAGGAGGAGTCCAGTCAATGTCCAGAGCTGTCTGGATATAAAGGAACGCCGCTGCCTGCTGAGCCACGGGCAGCGGTGCTGCAGGCCTCTGATCTCCCCCTGCTACCCCACGGCTTTGTGCCCAGCGATCCGGGTCGGTGGAACATCCAGGAGGTCTACGACTTCATCTCCTCACTGCCAGGTGGGAGCAGCTGACATGTGGATGGACGCTTTCTGATTCAACATGAACATAACTTTTTATTTGCTTGGTCTTCATTCCTCTGGTTCTGCTGTAACTTCTTCTGAGTTTCATTTTTCTCATGTGATCTTTGAACCCTGTCCGTCTCAGTTCGCTGCCGTAGATTCATCCTAAATGTTTGTTTTTCCCATTTATATAAAAGCTCAGAGGTTTGAAATGTTTTCCTTTAATATGGTAAACCTTGGAAAAGGACAGATTGTATAAATTGGTTGATTACCGTTTGAGCCGTTTGATGATGACTGAGGATCTGCAGGACTTTACCTTTGCTCTAATGTTGGTCCATCCACTGAATGCTGTTCAGAAAGACAAACTGTGTCGTCATTCAAATAGGATGAATCAAATATTTAGTGTTTGGATGAAATTAAATTATCATTTGAATCTCGATAGATATAAATTGAAAATAAAAATCAATCCAGATGTTGTTTTTTTCCCTCGTACTGTAGATCCCTTCATCCTTTTATCATAATCTTAACTCTGTATATTTAACCCTTTGGGTTTGATTGGAGATCTATAATAAATTAATATTTACACTCCAGGCAGAGCCAGTAGACTGACATGAAAGCAACTTCCTGCTGGGAAGGTTTTGGTGCACAGCTGGTCTCCATGGTTACCGTTGTCCGTTTCTGCTCTCAGGATGTTTGGAGATCGCAGAGGAGTTCCGCTCTCAGGAGATCGACGGTCAGGCTCTGCTGCTGCTGAAGGAGGACCACCTCATGGGAACCATGAACATCAAACTGGGCCCCGCGCTGAAGATCTTCGCTCAGATCAGCATGCTCAAAGACTCGTAGCTCATCTCCCAGTTAGACCTCAGTTACACACAGCCTGGTTGTTACTGGACTCTTCAGGCTCACTCAGGATCTTTGGATATTCTCCACAAACTTAGAGACTCACTCAGTATTTCCTCATTTCACTTCAGGATCAAAAGCTGTGGGACAGCCAGAGGGACTTGGCCTTGTTTAGGCTGATCCCTGTAGCTCTGCTAGCGTGTTTCTGTTCTGTAGATTGGCTTCCTGCTTCAGGTCAGCAGCAGGACTGTAGTTTCCACTAGACATACAGAGCGATGGACTGAATTACCGTAGCATTGCTTCATTCTTTGGAGCAGTGTTCTGTCAGACGAGCATAACTATAGTCAACATGCATGCGTCAGATTTGTATTTATCCTTTTAGTTTTGTATGAAAAATATAGATTAAACTACCTCGACGGGGGTGTATCCCTTTAGTCGTGTCTAAAAAAAACTAATTTAAGGTCACATCCCCGTACTCTAAAAAAAAAACACCCAAAAGAAAGTAATTCAATACTTTTTTGAACATGACTAAAGGGATACACGCCCCCTTGAGGTAGTTTAAAGTCTATTTTTCGTACAAAACTAAAGGGATAAACGGGTTTTGACTATGCGTATGCTGGTCTGACCAGGTATGCTCATCTGACAGAGCACCGGTTCAATTTAAATCAGCTGGTGGTAGCTGTACCATCCATCCAGTTTCTTCCTGCCAATCTCGATTGGTCTGTAGAAACCTTGGCTGCATCCAGGACCAGTCGTCCTCCGTCACAAAGGAGCCATGAAGGTCCTGATTCATACCTGAGAGAAGCAACTAAATTAGGATTTCATTGTAGGAGGAAGCTGGAGGACATGGAGAAAACCCACGTACAGCAGATGAGATACGACACCCAGTCCACTCTGCACATACACACGTAAAGAGCATCTTTTCTTCACCTTTCCTGAGTTCAGCATCAACATGGAGTGTTTCTCAATTCAGGAAACTCCTCAGCAATCCCCCTGATATAGGATAAACATGTTTTGAACCGCTGTAAGAGACCAGCATGTTGTGAGAAGCAGCAGCAGACAGTGTTGGCCTGTCATAGATAGATCAGAATAGATGCTGAGCTCTCTCCATAATTAGGCCCTCAAGCATTAGATGAATCAGGAGCACCTTCTCTTGGATCAGTTTTCCCCTTCTGACTGTAGAACTGCTGCTTTTCACCCAACAGCTGTGAATCAGGCCTACAGGCCGGGTTCTTCTGGAGCAACTTCAATCAAAACTTTATTACGCTTTAACTGTGACACAAGGTAGAAAAAGACAGACAGGCGGCGGGAAGAGGAACATAATCACACCGTCTTTTTCATGGGGACCTTAGAGGAACAGCTGCAGGTTTTTAAGTTCTGTTTCTGAGGAGGAGTTCTGATGCAATCCTCCACACTGCAGATACACTGATAACACTGTGACTGAAAATTGGACACCCAAACTGATTTACTTTATTGATTCGACAGGAAGGCTACAAAAACACAATATATAGCTGGAGATCTGGACGGATTTTAATATTTCCTTTGCAGCTCCTGTCATCCTCTCTCTCTGGTATCTGAAAGAAATGGAAATGCTGTCAGCTGCTGGTACAACTCTGAATCAAACCCGCTCGCAGGATGTTTTCAGGTGTTCACATGAAAGTCTATGCACACAAACCTGACTGCAATAAGTGCCTGTGGCTGTTGGAGCAGAGTGACGAAGACACTTAACCATGGCTGGGAATTACAAAGGAAGAAATAGAGCCTGTTGGTTCTTTCCTCAAATCATTACCAAAGTCATGTTGAACTGAAGCCAGGTCTGCTCTGCTGACTGATTGGTTGATTCTTTTGTTGGTTATCTGTAGAATGATGTTCAATTCAGTTCTCTTAAGGTTTTCTTTCACAGAAAACACTTGAATAAAGTCAGTAGATTTGTTCAAAAAGCAGTTTACTGTTTTCATTTCAGTGATTAAAAAATGTGAGTCAAATCTCTTAAACTCCTCCAGTTTATTATGAGTCCCTTTGGGACAGCAGGTCGTTCAGCCTGAGAATTGTTCTGAAATGAGAACCAGAAACATGATTATAAAGCTACCCTACATCATAGCCTGTTCCTCTAATTCTGGCATGTTCAGCATCCACTGACATTTGGACAGAAACAAGATCGAGCCGTTTATACCTTTATTATTGTTGTCTTTCTTCCAAGGAGAAAAACATTCTTGTCATTATCTAATTATGAAGATTCTCAGTCATCCAGGTCATAAGCCTTGAACTCAACGCTAATTCTGACATTATGAATTGAAAGAACTTCCTGGTTCGGAGGTGAAACGTCTTCAGACTTGGAAACAAAGTCCAGTGGATTGTTTTTTCTTAACTTTTTTGGTTAAAAGCAAAGTGTATCTGCCCTTCATTTGAGGAGGCAGGTAAAACAATCTGCCAGTGGAACGAGGATTTTAGCCTCTAAAACAAGTTAATAATGATGTAATGCATTTGATGGATGATAAATTGAGAAATCTTATTTCATTGGTAAATCAATTTACTGCCCTACTTTAATGTAGTAAAAATATACATTTTAGATCAATTCTACTTACGTTGAGTTCACTTTTTACAGTGCATGTGTTTCTCTGGAGCCTTTTAATAAAACTAAACTAAAGGTGTGACTCAGTGCGATGTTGACAGATCGGATCCACTTTAAATCAGATCTTCAAGCATCATGGCAGAAACTTATTTTATTCGTACTTTTACTGAATCCGAAAAATACCTCAGCTCTAAAAATATTTGGACAATACTTCAAACCAGTGATTTAGGAGCCTTTTGTTTATTGTTAATAATTTCATAAAGATTCCTATAGGAACTGGTGAGAACTGGGCTGAAATAAGCTGCTAAATATCGTAGCATCTTCATCCTCAGACAGTTTCCTGTTAGTGAAGGAAAAACCATTAATGGATTATTCTGCTGATCATTGCAAAACCTTAGAGCAGGAAAATGTTTTCCCTTTTCAAACCAGACAGTTTGTTAATGACCTTTAAACTGCAAAGAAATCCTACAAAATAATTGGCAAGAAAGGACAACTTAATTTTTACTCCGCCTGAAGTTTAAAAACCATTAAGATATCAAACGTATATCTGGTTTCTGCAGTCAGGACCACAACTGCAAACACAAACAGCTTTCCATCTATGCTGCTGGATTATTGAGCTGTGCAGCAGCAACTCCTCCTGAGGTCCATCACTGCAGAGGTTGGAGCTCTTCAAATGGTCCAGAAGGTGATAAAGGAAAATTCTTCGGCAACAGTAATTGAACCTACAGTGAGCTGGAGGCTCTAACTGGACCCCAAATTATGGAACCCACCAGGAGAAGAGCTTGAACAGCAAACGCGTCCAGCTGGACCAGAAACCTGCATGTTTGGACGGACTTTAGGAGCACTAAGAGTTGGCTGTTTGGACAAAGAAGAAAACCAAATCTGGAAGGTTCTAGTGGTTTTCAGTGTTTCCAGAATGACCAGGAGATCCGACTGGAGATGTTTTAGTGCAATCTTTATTGCATGGAGTGATGCTGCAAGCTACTTTCTGGAAGCACCTTCAATTATTCACGTTTGAAGAAAAAAAACGTTGAAGTTGTCAACAGGAACTGTATCTGTAGTTGCACTTTTTGGGTTACTTTAAGTTTAAATGTTTCTGTTTTGTTGTTGTGTTTTTGTCTTAAAGTTCTGATCAGACAATAAACATCCTCTTTGAGCTTAAATACAGCTTTAAAAATATGCCCTCTCAATTTCTTTCACTGGATTTTTTAGCATCTTAAACCTGGTTTATGATCCAGCAGCACAGATGGGAAAACTTACAGCTTTCTACCTGGTTTGAAGATGTGGATTAAACTTGATTAAATTAAACATTTAATGACATCGAACAGTGAAAACACAGAGGCACGCTCCTCCCAAGAACTGATTTATTCTCCCCAACAGAAATCCAAATCAAAGCACACTTCAAGTACAAATTGTCGGTATGATTACAAATGTTCAATAAATTAACATCTTTCTTCATTCAGGCATTCTCAGTAGTTCACAAAAAAAAAAAAAAAGAACAAAACAAGGCAAAAAAAAACCCCACCATAAAAAGCTCTTGAAAAAACAAAGAGTGAAATAAAAAAAAAATGAATTTACAAAAACAACGGACAGACTGATGGTTTCTAACATTGTCTGGAAAGAAACAAAAAATCACCCAAAGGTTATTTTCAATGAAAATTTGCTCTGAAAGAAAAGGAGAACCTTAAATTATCTTAATAATCAGTGGATTTTCATCAGTAAGAGGAAACTTCTCCCAAAGCTAGAATCATAACTAAATAATGATAAGTCTTGCTTTAAATCCTGGAAGTCTGCAGGATTTAAGTCTTATTTTTTTCTGAGAGAGATCTCAGGAAAAAAAATGAATTCAAGCTTAAAAAAATCAGACAGAGCATCATTTATCAAAGCTGTTAAATGCAAAGTTCTGAAACTGCTGAGTCTAACGGAAAAGAAAAGTCAAAAGATGGAAAAATGAGCTTTCAATTACAAAACAGGTGTGAATCGAGGTTTAATTGGAGGTTAAAGAGGCATCAGAAGCTGCTGATGTATTTAAAAACATGCTGGGAAGTTAAAGAGGATGCAGCCATGGTTCTGAAATGAACTCTAAGAAGAAATTAAACAACCAACAGGCCAATCAGGAATGCAGACTTCAGTCACCTGATGCTCTGAGCCCCATCAGACCTCATGACTCCATTCACTTTTTCTCATAACTACAGTCACTAACCACCCACAGCTAATCATTGCTCTTTCTTGTCAGTTTCTTTTTTACCTTTGAGATGCATTCATTACTTTAAAGACTTCTACTCTTTGGGTATTTCACTTTAAAGCTGGACAATAAATATAAACCTGCATGATGATAGAACCATTAGCTAACATTTTGGTGCCATGCATTCAGACATTATCTCCAGAATGTGGCTGATGTTTTAAATGCAATGTTTTAGAAGGTAAAGTAGTAATAAGGTGGAAAAACCTACAACTAACTTCTCCATCACCAAGCTGCAGACTCTGACTTCAGGCCAAAATGTGTTCAGATGGAAACAAGCACTCCATGTCTGCGGCCTGTTTGCACTGACCCCAAAGCATTAACTGTTTAATAATTACCTTTCTCTGTTGGATCCGTTTACCTAAACGCTTTATTAGCCCAACTGTTTGGTTTCCCTCTAAATTACTGGGAGGTATTGGCCCGAACTAAACAACTTTAAAATGGTTGAAGATCATGGTATGAGAGTCGAAGCGCCAGGCTCTGCAGCAGAGCGTAGGCCTTGATTGGCTGCGATCCCCAGATAAACATCTGGAGCGGTGTCATTAATAACTGACCAGCAGAAACAAAGTGGAGTCCAAACGGGTCAGAACAGAGAGTAGCTTTTAACATTTCAAGCTTCTTTAGTCTTGGTCAGACTTTCATCCCTAAGATATGTTAAACACTAAATACATTAGTACAGTCATTGACATCCATTTCTTCTGATAGGATAAGAAAAAATCTTTATCTGCTTGATTCAGCTCTTTCATTTCCTCCCTGGCAGACTTTGGTCTCAACCTTCAGATTAACAGTAATCCAGGCATCCATAAACTCAAAGTTCTTCTTTGGCTGCTTGTTAACTTTATAGATGAAAATCTGGCCAATGAATGCTCTGGTTTGCCTTATTCTTTCAGGTCTAAAATGTCCTCTAACAGTGAAGGGATGTCTGTAATGCTTTACAAAAGAAAACCTACGTCAAAAAAAAAAACAACTTTTGAAATTGTAATCAGGCACTTTGTTACCAGCAGCATTTTTGGAAATTCTGAGATAGCCTGGGCTCTAGCTCCAGCAGGATTTTTCCCTAAAGCTGCTGACTCAGAGCGGATGATCTGCTGATGAAGAAACATGCAGGTTTTTGCTGGCAGCTGGGCCTGAAATAAACCCTCCAAGCTGTCTGATGTTTTTTCAAAAAGCTGCATATTAGAAAGCAAACTGTGAAATTTTTTTATGGATTAATTAAGCATCCATCAAAGCCAGTTCTAATGCAGGATTTCTGGAGCATTGGGTCAAACAGTAAGAGCCGAAATGCCAGAAGAAGGTGTGTGGAGATGCTGACCTCATCACAAGCTGCAAAACATCTGCACTGACCTCACAATTCATTTCTTTAAATCGATCTTCACATGGAACGGATGTGTAGCAGTTAACAGCTAAACTGCAAATATTATTTTCCCTCCTAATGGGGTTTAACCAACAGGGTTTTCTACCGAAGAATTAAATAAAACAAAAAATGTATTTTCTTAAAGCAGCAGCGCTGGTGTCGTGTTTCACAGCAGGAAGCAGCAGCTGATTTCTAGGAGGTAATCCACCATGCCGGATGTTATGAAACAAAGTAGCTGAGCTGAATGACAGAAAATGTAAACCCCCCCCCAACATGTAAAGATGTCCACAACAATAGCAACCATGGTCGGAAGCTACGCCTAAGAAACATCCAAGGAGCTGAAGTGGTCGTCTTCCCTTTTGCTGGAGACCTGGTGGAGTCAGAGCGAAGTGTTAGAACAGATAAAGCCTGGAGGGAAGAGGCAGTCCCCTCACCCACCACAGAACCCCCCACCCAGGATTACACAGAGATATGCAGCCGTGGATTAAGACAAGCAAGCAGTAAGGAGCCAAAGCCGAGAGTTTCTGTTAATTTAATCATGTGATTCAATATAAAACATCATGAAAAATGCAAGAAAGAAAGCAGAAAGAGTCCAGGCAAAGAGACGGCAGCGTCCATGCATTCAGCTCTCACTGTCCAGCAGGTCCATTCGTCTGTCTGGGACCACCCAGTGATCATCTGCTTGGTTCTAAGCTCTCCTAAAAGAACTTAATGGACTAGTTAGGATGGAAGAAACAAAGCTGTAAAATGTTCCATCGTCTAAACCTGGAGCTGCATCTCATCACCCAAACAGAATAATCCTCCAGATGTCTTCTGGTTCCGATTACTGATGGTTGGACCAGAAACAGCTTCAACTCATTACCCGGTCAGCGAGGAAGCGGCTCCACTGTGAAATGCTCATATCCAGAGTCAGGAGCTTCCTGCATGAACTCATGGATCACATTGAATATCCGAGGCCTGTTATTTCCAACTATATTAGAGGCCTGAAACTTTTGGTTCCATAAAGATGTTCTCTGTAGAACAGTTAATGCTGACAACATATAATATTATTGAGAGATAATGTTTTTGTTGTCTGGGAAGCTGCTCTTTGGTTCCTGGTTAAGTTGGACCAAATTCTTTGCTACGTTCTGATTTTATGAACAAAAATGAGCAGCCGTTTGTGAATCTATAAGCTCGTTGGACAGACAGACGGACGGACGCATCACAGGCAGAGGCAATAACTCTGCATTCCTCTCCTCCAAGTTGTCCCGGTTTGGATTTTAAACAAACTGCCATTCAATTGAAGACAACTGTGCAACTTACCCTGCAGTGCCTCCTAGTGGCCAATTAGGGGACATTTTTCTATGACATTGGTGCTGAACTGCAGCTAAGCTCTTTGTCCTGATCCAGTCCAGTCAGGAATCAAACTGAGCCGCAGTTCTAATGGCTTTCTTAAGATCAATTATAGAATATGAGTAAAGAAGAAGATAAGGCCACAGAAAATCTGGAAAACTACACATGAGGACCTCTTTAAAAGAAGGTCTGACAGCTCTTTGCTTTGATGATGTTGATGTCCAGGATAATGTGAACAGATAAACAAAGAAAAAAATGCTAAACTTGTGCTTCTCTCCTTCGGCTGTGATCAAGCTTTCAGATGGGAGGTGAACAGGTCGATTGCTAAAGAGATACTGGAAGCTAAATGGTAAACTTCTGCTAATCTGGTAAAAAGGTTTCAGCTTGGATGGTTTCATCATCTGCAGTTGCAGGAAAAATCCTTATAGTCCTTAGAGACGCTGCAAAATCATTGTTCAACAGAGGAAAAAGGGACAGTGTGTAAGGCTACGGACGACCAACTCCGTGGTGAGATGGGAAGTGACTTAGAAAAACACCTCAAACCGAGAGCCACGCAGAGAGAGCAAACAGAGAGAGAGGAAACGTTTGACACAAAGAGAGCAGATGGGAGGAGAGCTCGTCCAGTCGGCGCTGCTTATACCTTGCTCCTGAAGAGCGGCTTGGCGCCGGGGCCACAGTACTCATTGTAGATGAGTTTAAACAGGAAGAGATGGAAGAGGGTGATGAGCGACGCCACGCTGAACCAGAAGAGGAAGGGAAGACCGGGGTACCGGTTTGCCATGTGCTCCTCGTGGGCCAGAATGGCTTTGAGGTGCAGGGTGTGGCGCAGGTCCTGCAAGTGGCGCAGGTCGGTGGAGATGTAGAGCAGCGGCGTGATGGGCTGGGTGACCATGACGGGGAAGGTGTGGCCTTTGACCTCAGATGTCAGTTCCACCGGCTCGTTCAGGCAGCCGGCCTCGCAGGCGTACAGCTTCACCGGCGTCTCCTGCTGCCTCACCGACACATGCAGGAAGGGCTTCCCCTCCCCGTCCAGCAGCACGGCCAGGTTGATCAGGTCGCGGTTGTAGTGGATCCCTCGTAGGGCGTAGCTGTTGTGCAGCACGTCTGGATCGGCCTGGAACTGAAGGTGGTTCTCTGTGAACTGGAGGCCGCCAAAGCTGAGCACCATGCCCTGCATGGCTCCATGGGCGCCAGCAGCCACCAGCACCTTGCAACCTCTCTTCTGCAGGGTCAGAGTCCACAGGGTGACCAGCTGCAGGATCTGGGCGGTGCTGCTCACCCGCTCAGGCCACAGGTTCTCAGCGTGCATTGTTGCATGGCCGCTGAAACAGTGATCGGCATAGTTCAGGCTGGACTCGAGACGTGCGCGCTCTTCGCCACTCAGCCGCCGGTCCAGCAGAGGAGCCATGGATGAGGACAGGATGTAGTACAGGGTGTTGTTCACGGTGCGGCCAGACGGCGTGTGGGAGTCCGTGATCTTTCTCATTTCAACACCTTAATTTGACAAAAAAGACAGAATTAATCTAGACAGGAATTAGTTTGTTTAAAGTCAAGAGCTCTACATTGAGACGTTTTTACAAATAAGAATAAATAAAAAAAAAATGCTGGCTCTGTTCAGGGGTTCCACTGATCCAAGGAGCTTTGCTGCCTCTTATTACCACTAACCAGAGGTGGGTAGAGTACCCAAAAATTCTACTGAAGTAAAAGTAGCATTACTTCATCTTATTTTTACTCAAGTAAGAGTAAAAATGTATGATGAAGATTTTCAGTCATACAGGTCAGTCATTCCAAAAAAGTAAAAAAAAAAGAAAAACAACAACAAACCACTAGACTTTGTTTCTAAGTGTGAAGACGTTTTGCTTCCCATCCAGGAACCTTTTTCAATTCAAATGTCAGAAATAGCTGAGTTGCTTTATATAGCAGCCGAACAAACCTTGTTTTTGCTTAGACAATATGCAAATTAAAGTGGAGCAACGGGTCCACTTGCAATGCCTTATATCTGTCTATGTCTCTGACAACCCCCACTTCAGAGACATAGACAGGTATGGAGCATTTTAGGCTGACAAAAGGAGCCAAAGACCCCCGTTTCCAAAGGAGTGGACCCATTAATCCGTTTCAATTTTCATGTTGAAAAAACAAAAACGAGGCTTTGTTGGGCTGCTGTATAAAGCCTGGAACTCAACGCGATTTCTGACATTCAAAATGAAAAAGCTTCCTGGATGTGAAGCGAAACGTCTTCAACCTTGGAAAAAGAGTCCAGTGATTTTTTTAAAAACTTTTTTGGGATGAGTAAAAAAGTAGTTATTAAAAAGTCTACTCAAACAGTGATTTAATGTTTTTTGAGCTATAAAACCTAAAAAAAAAATCAACAGTTACAGTATATAACAATATGTTAAATTAAAATGTACCATTTACTGTATTATTACACAACCTCCAAATGACACGGCAAACTCAGCAGATGGAAAATAAAAGTATGTCTCTCAATGATGCCTATTTGTTTAAAACAACCTGGTTTTCGCTAAGTAAAGTTACTTAGAATGGATGGAGTAGATGGAAATATATAAAGGTAAGCTGTTGGTCTAGAAGCACAAGATCTATATCCAGCCATTCAGCAAAGATCCTGCTACATGGCTGTACATCTTAATTTGGCATTTGACCAATTAGAGGAGCCCTTAAATGACATTACCTACTGTAAATTAAGTTGGAAAAAAGTTAAGAAAAAAGGTAAAAAGCTAAATGAAAAGTTAAAAAGTTAATAGGCCTAGTTAACAATTATATTTAGGTTTATAAACTAAAAAATTTAAGTGCTAGTATCCGTATTAATGCCTCTAAGGTTATGTTGTACTAAAAAAATTTTTCTTTTCACTCCGAGTTTTTCATGAATTTCTTATATAAGCACTTTTGTTGTTTTTTCTTCTTTTGTTGTTTCAAATATATTCGGGCGAGTGGGCGCTTCTTGTTATTACACTGACATTCATTTCAAATGACTGACAGTCATTTTTGACATCAAAATATTCATATTTTTTGAATGTTACAAAGGTAAATAAGGACTAGATCTGGATTCCAATAAATACTATTGGCTTGAAATTCTGATTTTTGAAGTATTTCACTGAGTGGGGCTATGTACTAACCTGACAACAGCCAGATGCATGTCTCACTCCGCCCAGTGAGACATCCATCTGGCTGTTGTCAGGTTAGCTATGTACTACTGCCACCGACAACTAAAACTGAGCTTAAAATCACCTTGATACTGATTATTAATCTGTTCAGTCGGCTTAAAGTTTACGACTTTGTGAAGTTTGGCTGAAACATTTGGAGCTGAATCACATAAAAAGCAGGAAACCCTGAGATTGTTCTGGATCCCTGAATTACAGAATATATGACTTTGCTGCAAAGATATGCTAACCTGTTGTCTTATTACCAAAAGTTTTTTTATTAAACCAACACAGCTCTGACCTAGCATCATTTGATTTGCCCCATGACGGGGGGAGGATTGGATGGAAAACATATATACATATAGGCAGAATACTTTTTAAGGGACAGGACTAATTTATATGTTTCATCGTTGCTATGATACCTTGAAATATATGGAGCAATTCTTTTCTATGTCTGTTTCTGTCTCCTTGAACCCCAGTCGGCCCTGAGCAGATGGCCGCTCACACTGAGCCTGGTTCTGCTGGAGGTTTCTCTCCTGTTAAAAGGGAGTTTTTCCTCTCCACTGTCGCTACAAGCATGCTTAGTGAGAGGGATTGTATTTTAGTCAATGAGTCGATGCAATCAACTGGTTTTCCATAGATAGAAAACTTTGAACCAATTTGACTTTTATGACCTGGTTGAATTCTAGAGTGCTTTGAGATGACTTGTGTTGTGAATTGATACTATATAAATAAACTGAATTAAATTGAATTGCAATTATTCAGTGTAACATTAAACTATAATAGGTCCAAATCATGTTGCCTTAATTTTGTATATCCCCTCCTAAAGAACCTTTACCATTTGTATATGTAGACCTCTTCCCCAGGATAAAGCCATTCCCATTTCTGATTCAGAAGAAAAAACTATCCTGACGTATTTTCCATTACCAGAAGAATAAATTTCTATTCATCACATCGCTGCTCTACCCCTCGGTTTTAGATTGATAACAAAAACCATTCGAATTGAAACAAGTTCTTCGGCAAGTTGTCTGCTATCTGTTAGTCCAACACTGTCATATTATTTAATTTAAAAAGTAGTGGGAACTGGGCTGCACAGTGCTGCAGTGGGTAGCAACAACCCCTCCTCTAATCCATAGACAGCTGGAGATAAGCACCAGCACCCCTCGCCACCCCAGCAGGGATTAAAGCGTAAAATGGATGGATGGAAGTAGTGGGAACCAGGAAAAAAAATTTGTTTTCTGGAAGATGAGAGACCGCTTCCAATAATTTAAACATTTTTTGAGAAGACCTTTAGAAAGATGCCCACTGAAAGCATACTAATGAGCTGAGACTTTGAGACAGCTTCTTGTTTGGTTCAGCAGATGGCCGCTCACACTGAGCCTGGTTCTGCTGGAGGTTTCTTCCTATTAAAAGGCAGTTTTTCCTCTCCACTGTCGCTACAAGCATGCTTAGTTTGAGAGATAACCTTCGAGTCGATGCAATCAACTGGTTTTCCTTAGATAGAAAACTTTGAATCAATCTGACTGGATGATCTGAACTGTAAAGTGCCTTGAGATGACATGTGTTGTTAATTGGTGCTGTAGGAATAAACGGAATTTAATAGGTTCAGATCACTAAAACCCAGATTTAACTGTTGAGCTGAGCTCACCTGAGAAGAAAAGGTCATTCCAGGCCTGCTGGTGGTCCTGAACCAGGTCGTTCACATCCACCCTGACAAGCTCCTCCATCTCCTTCTTGGCTCCATCCCTCAGCTTGCTAAAAGTCCCCTCCAGCTTGGAGGACTCAATGGGCTCAGAGGTCCACACCACAGACAGGATGTTGTCAGAGTATTCAGATTTGGCAGGGACCTGAAACCTGCTCTTCAGCTTTCTGGTGACCACCACCACCATCACTACCTGGTTGTTCTCCACCTGCACCGTCCCGGAGGAAAGCTCCACCTCCCCGTCACCCACCATGTCGGTACTGGAGGAGAACCTGCTCTTTGGAGCCGGGCTGCTGGCTGAGATCTCCACTGGAGCGGGTCGGTCTGAGGGGTTGTTGATGTGGATCCGTTGAAGGAATACGTTGGGTCGGCTCCGATGTGCGATAAACTCCTCCCGGATGGAGACGCAGTCCCTTGGGGACTGGACCGCGGCGGGTGAGGCGCACCGGACCGAGAGAACGGCTCCCTTCCGGAAGCGCAGCATGGTAGCCCGAGCCTCGGCCCGCTCGCCCATCAGATGAACCCCGATCCTTGGTGCATGTTCGGTCTGATGGACCGGGGCAGAGCCGGGCTGCGTGGAAGATGCCACCCACAACCTGTTAGAGTCTATATCGATCAGAATATGGCCGTTTCCGGTCACGAAAGGTGTGTCAAGCGGCTCCTCGGGGGATTTGTAGATCCCCTCTCCTCGCTCCACGATAGACTTCCACATGTGGATCTCAGTCTGGAGGCATTCCCCTGCTGCTCCTCCGGGCACCGAGGAGCCGCCCAGGAAACTCCACCTGCGCTCTGCCCCCAGGTACCAGTAGAAGATGAGGAAGAGGAGCAGCCCGATGAGGAGCCTCCGCGCCCAGCTGCTGGACAACAAGCCCGGGAAGCCCTTCAGTCTCTGTTGCAGCCACATTTTATGCTCAAACTACGGAAGCCCGGATTACAGTCTGCGTGTCAACACGACACCATGGGGTCTTAGGGCTCTCTTTAAAGTCTTGCATTCACTTCAGGTGGCAGAGTCTGATCTGTAAACTATGTTAGCTCAGTGGTCCGGCTCTAGCAGGCAGAGCTGCATCTAAGGTGCTGCATTTACTTTAATGCTCAGTTTCGTCTGCTCAAGGTGTTCCATTAAGTTTAGTTGTCAGGCTCCACCAGGGAAGCTAGCTTAGCTACGTAGCTAGCACTAGAAACGAACTGTGCGGATCATTTGCTCGTCGCATCGTTTTAGTTCCCAGATCCTCCGCAGAGTCCGCGTGAAGGTCTAACAATATGTAACCTCCAGGATCACTGACTTGTTTTTGCTCTTCAATCCAAAAACAAATCACCTGACGTGGAAGTGGACTCCAACGGTTGACGTTACGGGGGGCGTCTTCTTCTTCCTGACCTGACCGTAGTAGCTCTCTACCGCCACCAACTGGAGGCGACCCTCTTTTTGGGCATCGCGTTCTTCTTCTTCTTGGCATTTATTGGCGGTTGGCAACAAACATTTAGTAGCATTATCGCCACTTTCTGGTATGGATTATCTACTAATAAACATATATATACATACATAATTTCTAAGGAAGATAAAAAAAAAAGAATAAAAAAAAAAACTACATATTTATACATAACTTTGTATTCCACCCGTCTATATCATAAACACATTCGCCCCCTCTATGATCTAATTCTATGAACTAATTTAGTTTTCTTTAAAAATTAAATAATTATTTGTATATGTTTACTCCCCAAATTCTTCCTGAAAAAATATGGAATCAATTAATCTTTTCCTTAATACAGTCAGATTTTCTCCTCATATATCTTCTCTAGCTGTCAAATTTTCATTCCAGTATAACATGTTCTATTGTTTCATATTTTCCACAGCAAACACATTTGCCAATAATATGCTTTTACATTTTGAAAAGTGTCTAAGTCCTGTTTACCCAAATCTAAACCTTGTTATCTCTCTCTCCTCCTTTCTATTTCGTCTTCCATTTCTTCCTTTTCCTACTATCTTCGGAATTTTATAAAACCACCTTCCTGTTTTTTCTTCATACCTCCTTTTTTGTCATTTTTCCAACAGTTTTTTTTAATAACACTCTTTCCCTTCGATTTACTTGTTTTAAATGTAAAACTAATAGGATTTTGAATTGTTCTCTTTGCCATTTTATCTGCCCTCTCATTTTCTTCTACTAAACCCACACAAATACAACTATCAAACCCATATTTTTTATTCTTTCTCATTGTATTGCTGCTGTTGATGTGGTTTTAAATGTCTAATTTAGTCAGATGTGTTTTAGCTGCTGAACTGTAAACTATACAACCAAAGTCTATATAAGATCTTATCATACCTGTATAAATCTGTTTTAGTGATTGTCTATCTGCTCCCGAGTCACTGCCAGCCAAGCATCTCAAAATATTTAAGACTTTCTTACATTTATCAGCAATTTTTTGAATATGTATATTCCATTTTAGTTTCTCATCAAACCACAGTCCTAACAATTCTATACACTTTACTTGCTCTAATTCTTGGTTATATAATTTAAATTTCATGCCCTTGTTTATTTTTTTCTGATTAAATATCATTACTTTTGTTTTTTCCAGTGAAAACTTAAATCCCCATTGTAATGCCCATTTCCCTATGTTAATAATAATCTCTCGTAATTTCTTCACGATGAAATCTACATTTTTCACTCTTTTCCACACCGCTCCATCATCTGCAAAAAGTGAGCATCCCATTTCTTTTCCAATATTTTAAATACATCATTTATCATAATTGAGAACAGTAATGGACTGATAATACTCCCCTGCAGAGTTCTATTTTCTGCTGTATATTTTCCTGAGCTCATGTCACCAATTCTAAATTGTATTTTCCAATTTGATAAAAAAAAATCTTTAATCCATTTAAATATTTTTTCTTTAATACCCAACGTGTTTAATTTATTTAATTAATAATCCCTCAACCCACATCATATCATATGCTTTTTCTATATCAAAAAATACTGCCACTACAGTTTCTTTAATTACTTTTGCTCTTCTAATTTCATGCTGTAGACATAGCGGTGGACCATTAGTAATCCTCCCTTTTCAAAAACCGCTTTGATATTTTGATATATAATCTTTATTATTTAAATAACATACTAGTCTGTTATTATCCTTTTTTTTTTTTCCATTATTTTGCATAGATCTGATGTTAAAGCTATTGGTCTGTAATTCTGTGGATTTGAATTATCTTTTCCTGGTTTAGCTGTTGGTACCATAATTGATTCCTTCCAGTTTAATGGTAATTTTTCCTCCCCCCAAATGTTATTGAATAATTGCAAATTTATATCTTTTGATTTTTCACGGAGTTGTTTTAGCATTCTATACCCTATTTGATTTTTGCCTGGTGCTGTAATTTCTCTCTTCCTAAGTGCATAATTGTATTCGGCTTTTGTAAACTCAGCATTCAATAAATTATTTGTTTCTTCAACACTCTCTAATAATTCTTTATATTTAGGTTTCATGTTTTCTCTTTTTCCTTTTCTTCCCTCTTCACTAATATTATTTGAGCTGTTAATTTTACTGAATGTCCTTGCCAATATTTCAATTTTATCTCCATCTTTTATTATATTTATATTATCTATTTTAATATAGGATATTCAAATTCTCTCTTTATGCCATTCATTCTTTCAATTATCTCCCAAACTTTTTCTATTTTTGTTTCCATTATGCTACAAATAATATTCTCTTTTTGCGTTCTTAACAGTTCTCTTTACCATTGCTTGCCTTCTTTTATAATCAACTATATTTTTATAAATTGGATTATCTTTTAGTATCTTAAATGCTTTATTTCTTAACTTTATTGTTTTCTTACATTCATTTGTCCACCATGGTACCATTTCTTATCATTTTTACACCCTACTTTCTTTATAGAATTATTTGCTGCTTCCATGATAATCTTACAAATGTTTAAATTTACATAATTTATATGCATCCTCATATCTACTTGTCCTAAGTTTATTTGACTCATGTATCTAAATTTAATCCAGTCTGCCTTATTGAAATTCAGTTTTTTATTGTTCATTGCGTTCTTCTTCTTGTTGAAATTTATTGGAGGTTTTCCAACATGTTAGGTGACGCTGGGCATTACTGTCTCTGCTAAGGAGTGTGGACCTCATGACAGTAAAAAAAACAACTATATTCTATTATAAAACTTACTCTGTGTCAAAAAACTCAAATATAGTCTGATATCCTCTGCTTCCTGATTCCTTTTGCAGTAAATTAACAATATCAAATTTCATTTTCATATTACGTAATATTTCATATAACTAATTAACTTATTTCTCTGAATCAAATATTTCCTACAACTCAAAATAACATGTTCCACTGTCTCATCAGTCACTTTCCCCTGTCTGATTCCCTATCAAAAATAATGATCTATTCAATCCAGTGTGTCCTATTCTAAGTCATGAAATAATTATCTCTTATTCTTCTCTTCTTATTCATCCCGTTTCTTTCTGTTCTTCTCATTTGTCCAATTAACTTTTGGTTCTTATAAAACGAGATTCCTTTCTTTTATTCTACCCATAACTTTTGCCGCCTCTCTTTTGTTTAATTATACCCTTTATTTCTGTTATACTAAAACTAACAATAATATCTATCCTTACCTTATTTGTACTCTCCATAGCCATCCTGTCTGCCATTTCATTCCCTTTAATCTCGTTATGTGAGATTTACTACTTCATACCCCATCATATTTGTTCTGTAATGTGTTTGTTGTATTTCAATTAATATATCTGGTCTATTGTCTGACTGATTATTTTGCAAACTGACTAATGACGAACTAGAATCTAAACGAATGATAGATTCTAAAGGTCTTCCTCTTCCACCCGTTGAACTGCTAAAAGCAAAGCAAGCATTTCTCCTGTATAGACCGAGACTCCATCACTAATCCTTTTCCCTAACTTAATTTGAAACTGTGGTACAATAAATGCTATCCCTTCTTAATAAGCTGTATTTGTTGATCTCATCTCAACTCAACACAAACTTTATTTATAATGCACATTTAAAACAACCGGGGTTGACCTAAGTGCTGTACAGGAATCACAGTTAAGGAACATAAGATAAAAGCTGAAGGCTAAAATACATAAACACATGAAAATAGAATAGGATAAATGTTTCAATTAAAATACATTTTAGAATAAAATAAAATTTTAAATAAAATTTTGCCAAATGTCCACTTAGACATGATTAAAAGCCAGGGAGAAGGAGCCTGCTGATCTAATATGCCAAGGCAAGTTATTCCAGAGTCTCTGTGCCACTGCCATAAAGGCACGATCACCTTTGGTTTTAAGTCTGGTTTTAGGCATCGCCAGTAGCAGCTGATCAGAGGATCTCAGTGCTGATGCATATTTTCATATAGTTATAATACCTATTTAAGTATTCTTGTACTGTATGTGTATTCATAATTTCAAATATATCTTTGTTCTTTTTTTCTGATAATGAAAAATCTACTTTCGGATCAGGAAGTATCTAAGGTGGTGCTGCAGGTAATGGAACTGTCTGACGTATATCTAACTGAATTTCATCAGCTTTAGACTTTATTACCCATCCAAAGCTCTTTAATTGTTTCTTTTCCGTTTAAGCACCTCTAATGTTGGATGATCATTCCTTTGTTCCTGTAAATTTGACCTGTATTCTAAAGACAATTGATCCCTTCTAACTTTAAGAGGCATTTGTTTTAAAAGTGCCAGTACATATTCTTAAAGCCTGATGTTGAATAATATTTAACCATTCATCCTCTTTGTTATTGAATAACTTAACGGAACAATACCGCCCCCAACTGGTAAGGTGTGTGTACTGAATGTCGATAAAAAATACCAGCTCAACTCGGATCCTTCATGGGAACTTAGACAAACAATTTCTTTATCTAAACTAACAGATAAATCCTTCACAAAAACAAGTCCCTGTTTTATCCTGAATGACTAAACAGTTGATCAATTAAATTAAAATTATTATTATTATTATTAT